GGCGGACCCCCGCGCTCCGAGCCGGCGGCGGGGGCGGCGGACAAGGCACCGTGACCCGGGGGCACCGAGGTCGGCCGGATCGCGGCTCCTCCCGACCTGGGAAGCCCCGCGCCCGCTGGGAAGTCGTGACCCCATTCCGTGGTCTCTCGGGACATCCTGGAATGTCGCTGGGAAAAGGCTTCCATCGTTTCCCGGGTTAACCGAGGGGTAGCACAGATTCACAAGTTCGCCCTCAGAAACGCTCCACAGGAGGAAGGCCTTGTGGCTAACACAGCACAGAGATTGCACATTAGTACAGATTTGTTAGGGAGCGCCCATGGGTGAGAAGTCCGCCAAAGGTTTTCCCCAGGAAAATTGGACCTATAGACATGAGAGCCACAGGAGAAAACTTCCAGTGGCAGATGGGACAATTGATGACATTTGACACAGATCGAACACTAACCAGGGAATCAAATATATGTGGTAAAACGCACATGAAAAGGATTTGATCCTGGTGAAAATTATTCCAATGGGAAAAAAGGAAACTTATCTGCACTATGTAGAAAGCTGATCAAGGCATTTAATTGTCCTCAATGGCATTTGCCTTGAACATCCTTTCTAGAATGAAAATTCATCAGGGTGGATGTAATCCTGATTAAAATGTTTGTGTTCATAAACACAGGGTCCGAGTGTCTGATGGGTCAGTGTGCAAATGCCAGGAAGTCCTGGCCTGGGGGGAGGTCAAACCTTCCAGGGTAAGCCAGGGTCCCAGCAAGGGTGGGAGGCAGGCTCTAGCCTCTTTGCTGCCATGTTCCCATGCCCAATGGCCGGCAGGCATCCTCTTGAATGGAAGCCTGTGGCTGAAGCAGAGGGCATTCTGGGAGTGCTCTCCGAGGGCCAAAGGAGTCGTGCCCCAGGAAAGAGCTCTGGGGTAGCCCCACCCTGGCCTCCCTGGGATCCCCCCTGCTCTAGGCTTCTCAGATGCTTGCCCAGGGACTGAGGCTATGGGGTTGGGGCCTTGAACCCCAGAGGCACAGTTCTCCTGGGCCAGGCTGTGCAGGGGACTGGCCCCAGCAGACCCTGCCTCATCACTGGGGGTCAGAGGGAGAATGTTGGGAACAAGGGCTGGAGGCAACAGAAATGCTGTTTGTGACGTTTACAAAATTCTCTGGGGGTCTGTAAGAGCAGCAGCAATCGCCAATGCCTTGGGAAGGCAGGATGGTGGAGGAGGGTGCCCGCCGCCTCTGCCCCCCACGTGCTTCCTGCTCCCGACTTCCCACGTGTGGCTGCTTAGATCCTGCCCCCTCTTTCCTCTCTGCTTCTCCTTTACTAACACAGCCTGCTACATTTTACAAATGTGTTGGTAAGTGAGAAACAAAAGATGAAAAATAAATTTAAATGAAGAAATACATTGTCCTGTCTGTGTTTTCACCTCTGGATTTTGCGTCTTGCTGCTGGGCTTCATTTCTGTGGGACATTTTCCTGCAGAATGTTCTGTGAAACATTTCCTCTAGAGCAAGGGACTTCTCATTCAGGCCCATGCCCAGTGCTCCTTAGCCCAGACCCTTCCTTCTAGCCTGAGACCCTTGGCCGAGGATGGGCTCACTCAGTAAAATTCCCACGGGAAGGACGCGGACCAGAGGGTAGATGCTGGAGGAGGCTGGTTTTGGCATCTCCTAAGGACAAGCTTTGAATCCATTCAGTCCAACCGCAGGCTAGAGGGCCATGGTAGTGGTGAGTGTACGTGCTGTTCTTGGATGGCCACTTGGAGGGACGTCATGAGGCCTGGAGGCCCCTTCCAGCTCTGAGAGTCCTAAGACCCAACCAGTCAGACGCTCTCAGATTCTTATACCATTCGGTGTCCCTCTGTCGTCCAGCTTCTGCTTCCGGGAGTCCACACCCTCAACTCGTCTTTGTTGGAGGACCCTGGGGCTGCTGGAGCCCTTGACCCCTTATGCAGAGGGCTGGACATACCTCAAAATTGCTTCCCCCACAATGGCCCTGAACCCAGGAGAGACAAGGATGGGAGGAGGCTGCAAGCCAAGCTCTGTGCTTCCCGTCAGGACAGCTCGGAGGTGGGACTCACCCTCCAGAGTGTGCCTCTGGGATCCCATTGGAGCACCCTTCGCAGAGTTTTGCTTGAGACTGCACTCTTACTTTGCTTCCTCTCCTTCCCTGTCCCACTGCCCTTACTCTGACACCCCCAGGAGCAAGGCCTTAATAAATCACTCACACATGAACCATTATTTTTAAAGTCTGCTTCTCGGGAGCCCACCCTAAGACTGGTGGTGTTGACAGTGGTCCTTGGAAGTAGAGTCTAAAGGTGGGACTCTGGGCTTGGATCACTGGCCCGTCACAGCAACAGGGTCCCCCTTGGTGGTGGTGAGTGGTGACCCCTGGCTGCTGTGCTGATGGACAGGATGGGATACCAGATGGGAGGGGACACCCGGGCTCATGCACTTGAGCTATGTGGGAGCAATGGTTATGACAAGGACTGGGCAACTGGCTGATTTTGCTGAGCACAGTTAATGCCATGATAAGGGAAAATGAGAGGCTTGGGTCCACAGTGACTAACTTAAGGCACAGAAGGACAGTCAGAGGCCTTCGTGCAGTGTCTAGAGAGACCTTCATTTCCTTCCGCCAGGGCCGACTACAGGATACCAGGCACAGGGCCTGATGAAAGGGCAGCGGAACTTCAGAGGAGGCTGCACTGCACCCACGTCAGGGCCCTGATGGGGAGGGAGTGGGGCTTTCTGGCTTGGACTGGGGATATCTGGGTGATGTGCTTGAGGACACTGAGCCCCCACATTTCCCCCAACCCTCTGGGCATGCAAAAGGGGCCTGTTTTCCCTTGCTAAAAATATCAGCTGTGCCTCCCAATTTGTCCAAAGATCACGCAGAGATCTCACTAACACAGATGTCTTTCAAGACAATACTTACCCTCCTTAAGATCTGCCCCCACCTCCCTTCCTGGACACTAGATCTGTAACAAGGTTCTGGGCCCAGCACGGCCCTGCTGGGAAGTGCTGGCTCTGCTAAGGGAGGGGAGGAATTATTTACTAAAGGACCTGCAAGTCCTGGCTAATATGTACTGGTAGGAACCAGGGGAGCATGCCCAGGGGTGGATCTGGAGGGTGAGGGGCTGGGAGTGGGTGCGGTATTAGGCTGGCAAGCGAGGCTTTCCTGATCGGGAGCACCCCTCTGTGGCCCCTCGCGTAATGCTCTGGCAAGGGCATCTGGCACCAGTCCCAGTGCTCTCCTGAGATGGCTCCTGGAAGCTCGGACATGACAGTGGCCCACATTAAATGAGCTGGAGTTGCCAGGACTGCTTTGGCAGAGTGTTGATGAAGGTATCCAAGGTCCAGAGAAAATAGATCTGTTTTATTCCAAAGAACTCATTGTTGACTGTGCTCTTGGGAGAGCCCAGAGGATGCTCCTTCCACTAAGGAGATAAGAAATGTGCTGGTGAGAGAGGCCTCATAGAGGAGCTCGGTAGGGGCTGTTCTCTGTAGACCAAGGCTAACATTGGAGGTGCTCTCACGGAACCGGACTCCCTCGTGTCAACGGGGGTGGCAGCATCCTGAAGTAGCAGTGGCTAGAAGTAGCACTCAATCACCAGGGCAAAGTAGACATAATCACTGAAATGGGGAGTAAAGTTGGGATGGCAACCAGGAAGCTCAGACCTGTGGGGCTCTAGGAGATAGGTGATAGACCATGGTGTTCCCAGGGCCATGATGGATGGGGAGCCAACTAAGGTTTTGCTTGACTTATATATCCAAAAAAAAAGGCCAATGACAGCTTCCCCAGTGGAAAGTCACCATCTCTTACCCCGTTCCTAGATCTGAGCCAGTTCCGAGACAGAGCCCATCCATCACAGGAGAAGCTTGGTCCCCTGGGGACGGACTTTACAGTGCCACTGTCTACAGTATTGTATACAGTAGTGATTTCCTCAGTCCTTCCCCAAATAGACTAGAGCCATTTCCCTGAGTGATCATTCACTGAGGGCACGGGAGTATCCAGATCTTTCAGCCAGGGGCTCTGACTCATCAGGGGTGAAGTCACCGTGTCAGACAAGCCCCCTAGAGGAGCAGAGGTGCTGAAGGCGAGGGGATTCCAGGATGGTGGGGGAGATGAGGAGCACCAGCGAAGGCCCCAGGGCCCACTGCAGCTGGGGCTGTGGGGGATCCCAGCAGCTCTTCATTGGTCCGTGTTCTCCACCTGGAGTGGGCTTCATGTGGGATGTGAGTGGATCTGTGTGGGCAAGGAGTGGCCTGGGGAAACATCGATTCTCTGCCCACGTCTCCTTGGATGGGTCCTGTTCCAGATGTGTGGGCTCCCCCTGCCCAACCTGGCTTCCCACAGCACCTCTTGCTGCTCTTCCACACTCTCGGAGAAGGGGAAGTGGCCCCTAACCAAGCTCTGAAGAATGTGGGAGCGTGAAATCCCAGCTCCCTTCCTCAGGTCGGGACACGTCTGAGGCACCACTTCTGCTCCGGAGGAGCCCTGGGATGAGGAAGCTTCCTTCCCTCTGGAGGACTTTGCCTGAGACCTCCCCCTTCCTCCTTTTCCTGGGCTGCATCCCCCTCTCTCACTAGCCTCTCCTGACTGCATTTCCTTGATTAACCACTCACACACAAAAGGTATTCTGCGGTCTGCTTCTGGGAAACCTAAGACAGGTGCCAAGGTGGGGTGGATAGCAAAGCCTGTTGGTGGGCAAGGGTTTTGTCGTTGGGGGTGGGGGGTCGCTTGTTCCAGGTGCACGGCAGGCAGGCCCCAGGTGTTGATGGGCATTGCTGAAGAGCTCACAGCCCAGTGGGAGAGGGAGACACAGATAAATGATCATACCTCGGGATGGGCCATGGGGACAGAGCAACTGACCCTGCCATCGGGAGACAAGTGGCCTCACAGGAGAAGTCTTGCT